CTATAACAACCCCAACTCTTTACAAAAGGGTTGAATCGTTATCACAAGTGGTTTTGACTATTGTTTCCTTTTACTCATTTGTCAAAAATGTAAAACACAGAAACAGCATGATTACAAACACATCAAAGTCCCCAAACAACACTGTATTGAAAATATGAGGCAAATTAGACACTTGTTAGACAAATGCAAAGATAACCCAATCTGTTGACTCTTTTATAAACCCAAATGAAATAGTCATATAGCGAAAGTTCATGAGTAGGCTTGTTGCCCACAGCCCAACAGTCCTTTCAAGCAAAAAAATTATAATAAAGATGATACTCAACCTGCTTTGGGGGCTTTGGGGGTAGAGAGGAAATTTAAAGTCCTGATGAAAAACACAATGTCCCCAAAAAGAAAGTCCACTGAGTCCACTGGTTCAAGGCCCCACAAAATACAGGTTATCCTCCAGCTGTAAAAAGTCCCCAGAGTATAGTCCAAAAACGTATATCCCCGACCAGAGCGTGCCCTATGAAATGGTTTCAAAGTCTGATATACAATGTCTCTATTCCCAGAGATCACTTTGGACAATTACACAGAGCTAGTTTAGCCAAAAAAACAAGCCACCTCACCAAACACAAAAAGCTTCCTTTTAAAATGGCCGCCTTTTCCTCTTATCCATAGACCCACCATAATAAGAGTCCTTAGAGGCCAACAAAAGTCCCCCTCAAACAACATGCTTGTGCAAATGCTCAAATTCAACATACATTCAGAAAAAAAACTAAACTATAAATACATAGGCATGGCACATATACATAATTACTTTTTTTGTAACTTAAGTGAGCGTCGTGCAGGGCTTTACTGTGGCATTGTCACAGCACTATATCTGTATTTTATGCAAAATGTCTGTCTTATGCAAATTGATTGATGACACTATTCACTACATAGCATGTGAGAGTCAAATATGATCTTACCTCAGTGTCTCCAGTTTACAGTGAGGATCCTGTAGTACATCAGAAAACAGCTTCACTGAAACTCCTAGTTTATTCCCAGACAGATCCAGTTCTCTCAGGTGTGAGGGGTTTGATCACTCTCTGTGATGTAGAGCTCTGTGTAGATCTCATTCAGGAGTGTTGGGTTTCCCTGCGTCGCTGTTCCCTCATACAGACGCTCAAACTTCTTCATCAGATTTGATCTAAACGTGTTGAGGACTTCATGCCTGGAAAATTAAAATACTACATTATTACATGAGTTACAGAGATAAATGTACAGAGCAAAATGTATTTTCATGTTTTCTGTGTTATGAGACACTGAACATATCATAGGGTTTATGAAATGTGTCAGTTATTAATGCTGTATTTGAGTAATGTGTGATGATGCACTGCATTAAATCCCACAGTTTACCTCACACCAGGATACGTGCTGTCTTGTGGTTGATTCATAGACTGGTCATATTTCTCACAGACGGGTTTTGTTTCTGATCTGGATTGCAGGACTGACCTTGAATCAAGAATCAAACACTCTGACATTGGTGACATTTTTCTCATGACCTTAATAACAGTTGTGACTATTAAAAATGCACTTGCTCAAGGTCACAACTGTAAAAAATAAACACCATTTAAGTAAATGTAAATAATTAAATAATTCTACTCTGTGCTCTATATCTGCTCATTGTCATTAAATCTACTGGTTCCTAGCCAGACTTCTGTTCATATTTATTACACTGCTGTATAATTTTGAACGTTTAATTTAAAATATTTTACTATAATCATATCTTTTACACTTTTACAAAAAAAATTAAATAATAATACTTGAGGTTAAACCTTGTGTCTTCACTCTTAAAATGAATTAGGTGATCCAAAGAAGCGTCACTCTTCATAGACACACAGCTGGGCTCTGGTTTTGATCTCTTCTGATGAACTGAACTGTAACAAAGAATACTTTGAATTACTGTATTAATATTAACTTTTCATTTTTACTATGTGGATACAGAAACAATAAACTAAAGTTCTTTCATAGTGTCACGAATCCGGTCTACGAACTTCCGTTCATTCACCACCAGAGGTCTGCCTTTGTTTTTGGATTGCCCTGTCGTCTTGCCGTTTGGACTCTGTTTGCCCCTGCCTGGACCATTATCGTGTACCTGGATTATCTCTCTCTGTCTAGCCCTCTGGATGTCGTTTGCTGATCGGAGACCCTCGTCTGCTCTTGGATTATTCTTGTGTCTTGCCCGTACCATACCTGTTTGCCATTGATTGACCCTGCCTGTGTTCTGACCATGTTTATAAATAAAAGCTTGCACATGGATCCTCATGCCTCAAATCTCATCGCCTTCGTTACACATAGACTCTCTGCCATAACTAATATGAATACCATAATAACAAATACCTAATATAAAACAAAAACACAATATAAATATGACACACAGCTCTGGCTCTGATCTCTTCTGCTGAACAGATTTAATGATGACATGCATTTTAATAAAGGACCTTTAAAAATAAAACATTAAAAAAAAAGTGTTGAAAGGGTGTTTCTTGTGAATATTTAGATCTGGTGACTTTTGGGAAAATAAAAGTTGATGTATTTCACATATTTACAATATTTATAGGGGACTTACATGTTTAAAAAGTTATTGTTAAGCGTTAGCTTATTATGTTTATGTTGAAATGTTATTAATTTAATTTTTGCATTTTTCATAATCTGCCCAGAATTGTTTGCATCTCAGGGGATCCGTCACCTTTTTAGGGGAATAAAACAAGATTTTTTTTTTTACATATAGTCTCTGTGGTCTATAGACTTTAGACTTTGCAGCCTATTTCAGAAAATCAGTTCAATATTTCAAACTCTTAAATGATAATCTATTTTCTATTCATCCACCTGCAGCGTCGACTCACCTGCGCTTCCTCTGCCAGTGACGTCACACGCATTCTCCACTGCCGCGGATCTTCTTCTTCTTTTATTTTAATGCCACATTAACATAACACAGGTGCAGGTTTCATCTGTAAATAGTCTACAGTATTTTTGTCTTTATTTAGTTAAGTATTAAACTGCTAGCGAATGTTTATCAGTAGCATCCCATTATTATCCTCAGTCAGAATACTGTTAAAGGACATCATTGTTATCTATTGTAAAGTTGCATTAATAAAATTAGCAGACAGATGTTCACATCGATTTATAATAAAGGAGGGAGCTAGAGCAGACAACACCACAAACATATGAGTCATAATAATGCAATAACGTGTTCAGTATTATTTTTCTATAAACATATTGTACTAATTTTGAGATTTAGGCACTTTAGAAAATGTATTGTAAAATATTTGTATGAAATAGCTGTTAGTATTTTTATTATATTATCCAAAGGTACATCAGCTGGCAAACCTTAGGCAGTAAAGGCGTAGAGTCTATTTAAAGGGAATGATTGTGGGGGAGTTTGGTCAAACTATGGCAGTGATACAGTTTGTGCTAAATCAGACAGCGCCATCTAGTGTCTGTGCACTAAAACTTTAGTCTCCTGGCTACCATCGCCCCCCAGAAAGTTTTTTTTTTTTTTTAGTCAATGTCAAGTCAGTCTTTTACAATCATAAAATCTTCAAAAACACTCAGTAAAGGTTTTAGGACGTGACAGAAGCAGCAAGAGCAGCCAATGGGAATCTGTGAGAAGAAAACTGTTATCAGTAGGCCGTTCCTGTTCATTAAATGACTTATAATCATTACTTATCTTATATTCATGTTTGAAAATTTACATCAAAAACAGCTTTACCTCGTGCTATCTTGTTTGTCAGACATTTGTTTCATAGCGCGACCACAGCTGCAACAATGGCACTCTAGATCAATAGCGCTCCTGTTGGAGTCAGTGGAGCGCACGGAAACTTAGTCACATATAACAGCGAAGTCGCGTCGTGTTTCAGTCCTGGTCGCGCATTCGTTTGCCGGGAGGTGAAACTTCCACGGTGGCGCCGGCGCGTCGTTCGCTTTGAGTGGAGATCCGGTGAATAGCTGCGACGAACATTTAAACAAAAATGTGAGATTACAGACGTTGTCCCATTTATACAGTAATAACCCAACAGGCTGAACCCAGCATTTGGTTTAAAAAAATAACACAGCATTTTTAGAGCGGTCAGTAAATAAGAACAAATGAACAAATTATAAGCAATAGCACAAATAAATCAATAGAACAAAGATAAAAATTAAACAATGCTTTAGGTTTTTAGATGTTCAGGTAGAGAAATTGAATAATCAAATGTAAAATAACATTGCATAATTTTGTATGTAGCCTATATTTTCAGTTCAAGCACAGATCGAGGCTCGCGCGCTCCGAGACGCGGCTCTATGTGCACAGAACACACTGAACGGAGCTCTGTTTCGCGTCTTCTTGCCCTTGAATGCTTTAAATGCTCTTGAATGTTTAAATCAGCAAGGCCTAAAACACGTGCAAATGATGGTTTTTGCTTGTTACTATTGGCCTACAGTTATCCAGGATGTGACAGAATGGGTAATGTACTACAGATGTGGCACTTTACCTTTACCTCTACTTTTGCCAGTTTTCATCTATACAAGTATCTGTACTTAAGATTGTGTCTACTTTTGCCACCTCTGATTGTTAGATACCTCCTTGATTTAGAAGTTATATTTATTGTCATCACCAACTGGCTAGTTTTCTAGACATTTTGATAAAAAATTTGTGTTGCTATTTAAGCCAGATCTCGTCACCGCTGCCAGTTGAATGACCCCATCAAGACTGTGGTGCTCACAATGCAAACTGATGAGACTAACAAGCTAGTCTCAAACTCGTATACAGTTTTACCAGCATTTGGTTGATGCTAATTTTGTGCCATGCAGGTAAAAGAAGCTTGGGAGGTGCTTGGATTGGATTTGATTGGACCACCACCAGAAACAGCACGCAACAACATTTATGTCCTTACGATGACAGACCTGTACACCAAGTGAGTGATTGCAGAACCCATTCAATCTAAGACAGCAGCTGAGGAGTCTGCAATAATAACCACAAAGTTGTACTTGTTCAGCATGGTTATGAAAATCATTACAGACCAAGGGAAGGAATTTGTCAGCAAGGTGAAGTTTTGTAAAGGTTTAATTGTTTTTTCCCCTACTCTAGTCTCAACATATATGTTGTTGTCTACAGTTACTCCGGTCTTGCAAATGGACTCTAAGCTAAAGTGGGACATGCTTTGAATTAAAAGATAATGAATTGCTTAATAAGAAACATTTTTGTTTCACATTAAATGTCACAAACGTAGGCAGAAGACAGGGAGAGGAAAAATAAGAATAGAAATTTGTGAAGATTAAGTTTTTGTGTGTAAAAAGTGCCTTTAGTGAAGTGAAGTGACATGTGGCCAAGTAAGGTGACCCATACTCGGAATTTGTGCTCTGCATTTAACCCACCCAAGTGCACACACAGCAGTGAGTAGTGAACACACACACACACACACACACTGTGAACACACACCCAGAGCAGTAGGCAGCCATGTTTGCAGCGGCGCCCGGGGAGCAGTTGGGGGTTCGGTGCCTTGCTCAAGATTCAAGATTTTTATTTGTCTCATACATGGTTATATAGAGAATATATGACCAGCAGTGAAATGTAAGAAAATAAATAAAATATTACAGAAATTGCTTTGTGCAAGTGACAATATCAGTATATTAAGTGTCTTGGTCTCACCTCAGGCGTGGTATTGAGGGTGGAAGAGAGTACTGGTTATTCACTCCCCCCACCTACAATCCCTGCCAGACCTGAGACTTGAACCCACAACCTTCAGGTTATAAGTCCGATTCTCTAACCATTAGGCCACGACTGTAAACAAACACATGCCTGCTCTCACCCACACTTACACACACAAACACACAAATATGAAAGCATGCTACACTCACACTTATCTCACAGTTAGATACAAACTCTTACAGTATACACACCAAAAATGCACACACACACACACACACACACACACACATCACAGATGAAATCGTGGCATTTTTATACTACAGATAATGCATTGTACTTCTGTTGAAATGACTCAATTCTTTGTTTTTGTCCTTCTGCTGGAGTGTTTTAATTCTTTACATTTGTCCTTCTCAGGGTTCCCACTCTTTCATGAACACCAGATTCAAGGACTTTTTCAAGCACCATTTATTTTATATCAAGCACCTATCAAATTCACACCCCAGCATATGTAGTGTCATGAAAGACCTTACATTACTTAACATTTCACTTACACTTAACATTTACATTAAACATTTCAGGCAGCGGCTCAGCTGTTACTATATTTGGAAATATTTTCGTTGATGCAATATATACAATAAGACAATAAGAATGTTTGCGGGAGCGTGACACACACGTTGCGGGAGTGGGCGGTAATGGTCAGAAATTCAGGGGGAGCGGGCTTAAGAAAACTGTCCTGCTCAGGTCTCTAGGCTACGCGTCAACACACACGTTTTTTTTTTTTCGTGCTCCCCCAGCTCCACCCCCAATCATTAGTGCTGCTTGTTCTTTGACAGAACATATAGGACAATTTTTTAAATAGCGCCATAAACAAAATTTATTTCAAATTTAATTCAAGCACTTTCAAGGAC